TGACAGGCCATAGTACACAATTAATTTCACTATATTGTCTCTACATTTGTTTCTCAGTACTGAACTTTCCACTGTGTGACAATCAATACAAATCTTATGTTAATCTAAAATATCTTAAAAGATGACTTTATGGTTTAGTTTTTGTCAAGGGTTGACCTGCATTTTTTTGAGAGGCTGAATTGTAAACAAAACACCAGGCAACGGAACACAGATTTCACTTCCGGATCATCACCATGACCTTATTACTCAATGTGCACTGTTGACGAAATACACACAAACAACCACACCAAAAGCTCACATTTTAAAGAATAAACAATTGCCTTTAAATCCTTACCAAGAATGCCAAAATCTAACTCCTGTATCACCACCAAACTTTGACAGGAAAAAGTGATCTAAAAATAGACTGGGACTACATTCATGGGTACTGAACCGGATTTTATTAATTGTGTACTGATTCCATAACCCTTTAGCCAGCAGCTAAGTTAAAATTATGGCTATAAAGATGAAAAAATTGAAACCATATTTCCTCAGACGTATATTCTATTTTTTCTCTTTTTGATCAGTTTAGGACAGAAGCTTAGCACTAATGAATTCTGCTATGCAATGGTAACAGGTAAGTTATTGCTGCTATTAAAAGGAAGTTGTTTGGTGGTATACAATTTTGTAAAATTATCCAGTACTTGTTGCTATTACTGAATGCCTCCCCCCCTTCTGTTGTATTAATATAATTGTGATCTATGAGAAAAGCTGACTCTTCTGTGCATGGACATACAAGGTGCACAAGAGCACCTTGTCTTATTAATAATTTTTCACTCTTGGTGGAGGATGTATTTACATCTTATAAGTTATTTTTTGACACAAAGCTATACAGTAGTAATGGGTAAGTGTTGCATAATTAAAACAAGTTTTATTCCCCTTCCCACCAAATGAAACTTCATATCTGTTTTACAATAGTTAATGGATAAATGCTACATAAAGTCCAGTGGTTTATATTCCAATTGAAGCAGTTGTGCTTATTAAAACACACTCAAAGCAAAAACTAATGCAGAATAATTGACATTTTACTGTATGCTATAGAGTGAGCTTGATGTAGCTTCCTGCAAGTTGTAGAAGGTGACAAAAGAGACAGGAACTTTGATGGTGTAGTTGTTAGCATGCCAAATTTGTGAGAGAAAGGGTGTGGTTTTGAATCCCATCATGGTTTGTCCATGGGCAAGGCATATTACTGTGATAGCCTCTTCACTATATATTCTACTTGTGTTGTTGTGGTATAAAACACCAGAGCAGCATTTTAAATGATATTTCACAGCTTTTAAAAAAATTTCAAGAGGGAAATATTTAGTTGAACTAGTACATTAGAATGCAAACTAATCCTTTCTATTACAGAGAAATCTATTTCCTTTCACAGCTTCTGCGACTTGGATCTCATCGGTAATTCTAGCAAATATTTGCTAAGCTTGAATAGCAATCGAAGTCTTGTGCATGATTTGCTGAAGATTAAATTCCCTCTTTATATGCCGGTGATGTTGATGTGTTCGTGTTTATTGAATCCCCGCTGCTTCTTTAGATTAGTGTAGGATGTTGGCTGATAATTATTTTTGAAAATCAATAGTCTAGAAACACAGTCTTTACAACCCATCACTGCAACAAAAACAAGACAACTTTGAAATCTGGAGTATGAAAGCTTGGCACCTAGTTGAAATACTATACACATAGTGATGGCTGACTTAAGATTTTGCAAAAGTATTGTTACTTTTGTCAGCATTGTTACTATCCACATTTAATTGAAGAAAATGAATAATGAAAATCTTTGAAAAAGTAGGTTGCTATCATATATTGTATTTTGCCAAAATGTTCATCCCTTAGGAGCGTTTATTTTTGGCTGTGCCATTGCACCATTGAACATTAGGTAATTTTCATCACAGTGCATGCATGTTCCCTCTCCAACACTTGTGGGCACATAAAGAAGACCCCAGAAAATTAAAGTAAAAGATCATTATGATTGACTGAATCAAGCACACCTGAAAAGGTTTATTGAATGAAGTTGTTACATTGGCTAAGTGATACAAGATTGTCAGTTTCATTGGTTGATAGAAATCAGTTAATAATCTTGATTAGCTGAGACACCAATTGAGAGCCCATGGTTCATAATCATGAATAGAAATGTAAAGAAGAGTACATTAAATTTTTAGTGAAAACACTTGTGTTTATTTCCAAAGAGTATATAGGGAGGAAAAATATAGACTCGAATAACCCAAATAAATTCTGGATGGGAGTGATATTCAGTTTGAGGAATTCAGATCCTGATTTGGAGGAGGATAATCCTGTGTATGTTTAGAAATCTTTTGATGAACTATAGATAGGCATGTATATATGTAACCCCTATTGTTTCTAAATGACCCATTGTTTGATCTGGTAGCAGTAGAGGCAAAATGATTAATCAATACATTGATGCATCAAGACTTTTTCCATATCAATACTGATGTTGATACAAGAGACAAAGAATCAATACAAGAGATATTTGCTGGATACATTAGGTCAATCTCAAGCAGTCATGAATAATTATTAGTAATTATTTGCCTGTTCATTCTTTAAATTGAGAATTCATTTGAGACAGCCATAGCAGGAAAAAGGCTAACATCTCCAAACTATTCACAATACCTACTTGTCTTCTGCAAATTAACAAACACCAGGTGGATAACTTGCAGAGTTTCATATCCTATTTCTTGCAGTTCTTTTCTGATCACTTTATCCATCAGCACACTCATTCACTGATAAAATAAATCAGTGTAAAGAATGCATTCCAGATTGTTCCCCATGTATTATTGCTGATCAATAACCACACTACATGAAGTTTCTATAGTGCTTCACATCTTGTCTACTTGCATCAAACTTTGAGGCTACACTTGCCATGGTCAGAATGGAATAGTGATGAAAAGGAATAGACCAAAAGGCCCATTTCTGTATGCATTACTAATTTTACTGTTATCATGTATACTAATAAAAAATAAATAATAAATAAATATCAAATCCTTACTTTTTATTGTAAAATATCTATGAATAAAAAAAGGGGCAAACACTCAACTGACTAAAACCATTACAGATGGACTTGATGGATACAGTGTTTGTTACGCAGAAGTAAGAATTTTGAAAAGTCAAAGGGGAAAATGTAAGAACCATCTCCCTATATCTTTTAGGGATGGGTTCTAAGTCCAAACATGTTTTAAAAGAAGAAAATGCATGTTAAGGAGAATGTAATTTAACAAAATGTGAGTATAATAAACAACCAGAACAGGCAGAATTTTAATAATGAAATCTTTGTGAAACTTATAATCAGGGATGGAAAGAAGAATAGATTGAATAGATTCGTGCAAAGACAGTACATGTACCTCCAATTTCTGATGAATCAGTATATTTTTTAAAAGTGGGGAAAATCAATATCTCAAAGATTTCATTGATACTTAGTATGCAGTTGATGAGAAAGTAGATCCTGGTAAGATATGAAATCAATCTCAAACAGAACATCATCAAAGTGAACGATGCAAAAGGAATTTTTTTAAAAAAAGGTTATAGAACTGTCAATGAAAGAAGGCACAAGAAAAGAAGGATAACAAAAGCAGTGTTGGTGGTTGTAAAAAAAAAGAAAAAGAAAAGAGATTTGAATCTTTATATAGACATGACAGACAAAATGTCTCACTTGTGATCCAGAACTTATTTTGTCTTTTGCAGTTACATATAGCAAATAAGTTGCACAGATCCAAATATTTCATAAACTCTCTTAAACACAGACACACAGACCAGACACTAATTGATGTGTTAATTGGTTATAAGAAATATTAAAGTTATGGATAAACCCCTGGTTAGTTCATTAAGGAGTGTCTCAGAAACTACTACAAAAACTGCTACAAATTCTGATGACAAAATTTTAGGACACACCAACTGTTGGGAGTAGAGGCTTGGGTAATAGTTGTGATTACATACACTATTGTTTGTGTCTCATTTGCAATTATCTGAGTTTCCAGGCATAATAAATACAGAAAACATACAGGAAGTGTGAAAGGGAAATGTGATTTCTAATTCTTTCCAATTACCAGTACTGTATGCTGTTTGCTGTCAGTAGTTTACTCCAGTCCTGGTGTTAATCCTCACTGACCAATGCTTCAGTTTTTGCTGCTTAATAGTTTAACTTTGGATATAAAAAAATATATTGCTAATAAGTGAATAAGTACAGATATTACAGAAAATTTGTCAAGGAAGCATAGGAATATGGACTTGACTACTGCTTGCTAATATGGCTTTGAAAACACTCAGTCTACACTGCAGGTTACGGTTCAAAAAATGAAAAGAAAAGTGATTAGAAGCTTTTTAGAAACAATGACAAAAAAGGCATTACTGGTATTATTATTATTATTATTATTATTATTATTATTATTATTATTATTAATGAATTCTTTAAAGCAGTCCTTTTCATCCTGGGTGTTTTCCACCATGGTCCTTTCTGTACTGGCCCTCTCTGACCAGACATCCCAGCTATTGCACAGATTAGATTTGTATGTCTTTCAACTTTTCCTTTATTCGGTTCCTTTTATTGGATTTGATTCAGAAGACATTATTAATTAACATGATAAACAAAGCAGTTCTGCTCTTTGTTGAGTTAAAAAACACAAATATACTTCTACAAGTTAGAAATAAAAATACAGTTAGCATTTAATATCATTCCTAGAGAAAGAAAACAAAATGCAAAGAGACAGTTTACAAAGTTGATAACTGTACTCTTTAGCCATGAGGGTCTCAGATAGAACTCTGAGAGTTGTGAGATAAACATTATTGTTTTTTTTTTTTTTCAATTAATGAAATGCCACTTCTGACCAGGCAGTCTATAAGCTCAAGCACAACAAATCTGTAGCATCACCAATACTGACTTTAGTAGCTTCAACTGGTCATTGATTTTAGAGATTTAGATTTCTGTGTCAAATAATTTTTGCAAGTTGTCAAAATATGACTGGGATTGGCTCTGTGGTTAGAGCATCTGCCTTGGATGTGAGAGGTCATGGGTTTGAACCCTGGCCAAGTCAGACCTAAAATGTATAATAATGGTACTAACAGCTGCTTTGCAAGGTGCTCAGCATTAAGAGGTTAGTGTTAGGAATGGTTGGACTGGTGTCAGGATAATGTGACTGGGTGGGACATGATGCTACATGTCTGTGTTATGATGCCCCTGTGCAAGACATAAGTATAAACTGCCACATTACATACATCATAGTGATATGACCAAGAAATTGTTAAAGTTTTGTTAAACATCCAATCACAGACACACACACACACACACACACACACACACACACACACACACACACACACACACACACTGACATTCATAATGTAACTTGTTAATGATGTGAGGAATGTTTTTCTTTTGAAATTTCACTGAAAAACAATTTTGACCCTAATACCATTTTATAAATCAAGATTGAAGATTTTTTTGTCAGAAATTGAGGTTGATGGCTGGATAAAGCAATGTATCACAATGATAACTCAGATCTCCTCCAACTGCAAACTTCATTAACTCTTTTCTGTGATTGCATAATATGCTACCAGTTTACAAGAAATAATCATTGAAACAGAAAACAGGGACCCTGCTCTGCCAGTGCATTATGCTATGGCAGATTTGGATGTGTACAGTTTGCAGTTAAACTCTGCCAAGGCATTAAACTGGCAAATTTGGTTGTGTACAGTTTGCAGTTAAACTCAGCCAGTACATTATGCAGTGGCAGATTTAGATGTGTACAGTTTGCAGTTAAACTCAGCCAGTGCATTATGCTGTGACAGATTTGGATGTGTACAGTTAGCAGTTAAACTCTGCCAGTGCATTATGCTGTGGCAGATTTGGATGTGTACAATTTGCAGTTAAACTTTACTGATAAGCAAGTACATATGGTAATAAAAGAAACTGTATGTACTTTAATAATGTAAGGAATGTCAATCTTTTCATTATTAGATCAAGATGGAAAATTGATGTCATAATCAAGATTGACTAAAATGGAGTTTTATATTCAAAGTGAATATAAAAGAGTATCTGTTTTTGAGTTCAAAAAATGGATTTATGAAAATTTTCTTAAATGGAATAATAATACATACTACTAGCATATAAACTCAAGTTGCCAATTGCATAGTCTGAGATCTGCCATTACATAATGCACAATTAGGACTAATTACTAGAACAAATGGCATAGAACTTATCTGCAGATTGCAGTATGTGACAAAGGTCAATGTTTTTTGCAGTTGGATCCAACTTGTAAGCCTTTATGGTGGCACTCGTAAGCCTTTATGGTGGCACTCACCAGTTATTATGTATTTTTTGAGAAAGTGATGTATGTAAGGTGAAGTTGTTTGCATTTTAAACATGCATAGTGGAGAGAATGTTGGCATACCTATATACTACTTTTATGTAATGTGGCTGAAATTTCTTTGGATATTGTACTTTTGGAAATTGTAATGATCTTAGAACACTGCTAACTAAAATGACTGCTCCCTTGTGCATAAAAATCAACCTGAATTTGTCTAATGTACACTATCCTTGGCAGCTATTAAAATAGAGAAAATGAATTTTGCCAAACTAGACAATACCAGCTTCTAAAAGTGCAATGAATGAATTACCAAATACATAAAATGTTAAAAAAAAAGTTATTGGCTATTTTTTGTACAAATTGCCTCTGAAGTTCGGGAAGTGAAAATGAGCAAGTAGAGCTAGCACTTTTTTGAAAGATGCACATCTGGAGTAAGGCCAAGCTGTATACTCTGTAACCCATATTACAACCATCAACCATGCACCAAAATAAAGGGAATTAAAGTTTTTTTGAACAGTACCTAAGATATACAAAGTCTTTTTTAAACAGCCAGTATAACTAGTGAGGAAACCCGGGGAAATTCTTTTTCTGTAAAATTCTAACCCTATGCTAAATACAAAACTGTAGAGCGCCACCAACATACTGGATGTAGATTTATATTCTCCTTTTAAATCAAGATTGAAAATTGATGATATAAAATCCAGGTTGATTAAGCATGTGCTAACATTTAAAAGTGGACATATTAAAAGGAGGAAACCGCAGTTATCTGTGATTTCTGATTGTAATGTGTTGAATTTTGAATAAGTATTGAACCTTAAAATTTAATACATTGTGCATTAAAATTTTTATACAGTCAAGCCTGCAATGTCTTTGTGAAGGGTCACTTTGACTCTTTTTCTGTGTCAGTTGTTAAACTGGAAAGGCATCCCAACGCTTTTCTGGTAAAGTAAACATTAAAGTTGCTGACCATAACTGCTTGATGGGAACCCCATGTCAGATAGTCATCTAACAAAAGGAAGTTGGCATGCATCATATTTCTCAGATTCTAGGCTGTCAAAATCTGACAAAATTCTCTTGGGGAAAATTATGAACTGCTGATTATGATTGGTCAGTTTAAATTAACGGCTGATTATGATTGGTCAGTTTAAATTAAGGCATACACCTTGGAAGTAATGTTTAATTTAAAGTAACAACATTAGTCAAATTCCTTAGTCAGAGATTTTCATGTTAGAGGATAAGACTTGTTGACTCTGGAAAACAACTAAAGAACAGGGCTTTCCTCATTAAAACAATAGGGACCAGGTGCTGTCTTGTAAGAAAAGACAGGCTTCAGTGCTAGGATTTTAAACTAAGTTGTTACATCTCTATTTCTTAGTCTTCAACTTTACTGCATGAATTTTAGACTTAGCTATTACATCTCTTCGTACAGTCATCAACTGTACTGCACAAATTTATAGAACAATTTGAGATTCACTTGTGTTGGGAAGGCACTTTTAGTAATGGTGAACCAAAAAAAAGGTGTCTTCTTGACTTAGACCAATCTGTATCAGAGTAAAAATGCAAATTTCAATTAAATTATTAAACAGAATATGGCAGTGCATTGTATAAACTTGAAAATGAACTTCTTCAAAGTCGTGGAACTTGTTCCTGTATTAGCATAACAGATTTTAATATGGATAGATTAGTGCCAAACCATGTATTTTTAATAAAAAATAAAAATTCTTGTCTCTTATCAATACTACATTGTGACTAAAATTAACCCACAAAATATATTGAAAAAAAGAAATCCATTTCATTAAAAAAGCAATGAGATGTAGGTTTCTCATGTTAGTTTATTCATTTTCAGTCAATTCCTCATAATGGTGGGTATCTGAAAATTCACTTTGATATGGGTAAAGTATAACCTCTTGAAAGAGTCTGTTGACTTTATTTGCTAGTTTACAGTTCACACCTGGGGCTCCTAGTGGCCAAAAGGTCCAGATTACAGATCACTGCCATCTCACCTTTCTCTGCATTGGTTGAAGTCTTGGGCATGGCTGAGGTGGGTAAGTGGGAAAGCATGCCAATAACTTCTCTTGGGTCAGTTGTTCTTTTTGGTTTCCCTGGTACTTCCTCCACCATTTATACTGGCCACCATGGATAGCCTATCAGGAGCAGAAAAATGTTGTTATCAGAAGTTCTTGAAATGGTTTTTCCTTTTACATCCCTTTGGGCTATACTCTGACCATTGTCTTTTTGTTCCTAGCTTTTTGATCATCCTGCAGTCACTATCCCCAATAACAAATTCACAGCTAACTATTGATAATGCCAATAGAGGTCGTGTGTGGCAGAAGGGACTGAGAGATTGGAATCTATGCAATTTATTGTACTTATTCTTTAAAGGAAACACTACCCAGCTAACAAATCTTTGTTACAGCAATGTTTAAGCAATGTTGCCTAAGGTTGTGGCAGTGTTGTAATAGAACATTGTGTCAATGCAATTTGGTGAACAAGCTGGAATGTTGCTACAACCTTGCTGTTCAGAATTATAAAATAACCTTCCTACAATATTCTTACAACATTTGAAATCTATATGGAAATCTGATGAAAGCTGCTTGTGTTTCTGAAACATACATTTCCCACTGCTGGCAAGAATGTCCAAATTAATAACACTGCAAAAATGTCAACATTACCAACCATTTAGGAGTTGCAATAGCAGGATTTTCAAGACTGCCATTGTCACCTAGCAGCTGTCAGTTCTGCACCAATTTTATTTTCCGCAAACCAAACATCATTAGTCACTTGACAATATAATAATAATAATAATAATAATAATAATAATAATAATAATAATAATAATAATAGAGATAATATGCCAGGGTACACTAATTGTTCCAACATTGTACAAATTGGCACTCTGCATGCAATGATGTATGTCAGCTATCACAAATTAGTTTAAAGTAGCACATATGAAAATGAACTCAGCACAAAATAGAATTTTTATTTATCTGTGCATACACTGAAAAAAATCTTAAAATTATTAAGGATGCATATTTAATAAAAAATACATATGTCCATTCTGAAGTTTGCAATCAGTTTCAGTGCAAGTGTGCAGGTTTCTTAACATGGCATAAAATCCTCTGGCTTGGTACTTTTTCTAACAGGCTGTACAGCAGGGCCTTCCATTGGATTTAAATGGGGCAGGTGAGTTGACCAAGCAGGCTGAAGTTGGGGGGACCTACCCCAATGGGAATCATTAATTTTTTTAAAGTTGCAGGGTGTAAAGTAAAAGTAGACAGGCAAATTACATGAATTTTGCTTGATAATGAATTCCCCTGAATTTACAGAATGAAGATTCAGACCTTAATTTTTAAGAGACAAAAATGAAAAAGGAAACATTATAGCATATATATTAATAACACTTTTTGTTTATTTTTAAGATTTAATTAAGATTAGGAATCAGAATCATTCTCCTCCTCCACTCTAGAATTGTATCTGTTTCTTTTTCTGCTCAGGTACATGCAAATTAAAAAATAATTTGAATGCTTAAAGAAATTTAAATATTATTCTCAGCACTGCTTAAATATTTAAAAGTCACATTAACTAGCATTAAGGATTATCCATAAAGGATGTCTGCACAGATGGGGTGTTGGTCAAATGTGGACATGGGTAAGAAGGTGTAAAGGACCTTGGGGATGTCTACAAACTATTATTTTCTGTATGATATTCTGTTTTGAAAAGCTGCTTTA